ACATACTATATATATATATATATATATATATATATATATATATATATATATATATATATATATATATATATATATATATATATATATATATATATATATATATGTAATATATATATATACATATATATATATCCGGATCATGTATACTCACACAGATTTCTATATATCTGCATTTGAATGTACATACATGCTTTACATTTGTATTGTCCATAGACTAAAGTCTTTGGGCTTTTTTATGTCAGTTAAGTGTTCATTGGTCTTCTGCGGGCATTGATCTCCCATTCTCTGTAGGATGCATCAGTCGTTTGCGAACATAACATTGTAGTCAGAGTTGATAAATGAATGGTGCATATCCTTTTCCAGAATTTTTCTGTGAACATTCTCGTACTAGTGGGGATACACGGGCGGAATATCGTATATATTCGAGACACGTATGTAAACAGCAATTGAGTTATAATAGCACACAATAATCGAGGTACGTAAAAGCTACGTCCTCCCTGTTCGGGAAAATTTGCATCCTGTCTAATGACTTTTCTTAATCGCAAAAGGGTGGTGGCATCTTCAGACTACGAGCTCAAGTTGTTGAAAGGGGATATTCTGGATTTCGAACAAGATATCACTGAAGAAATTAAGGTACGAACCAAATTTCTATTTCGTATACACTATGAAGTTCAACTAGGCCAGTTGCTTACCTTTCATTGGTGATATTGTTTTGACATCTGCGTGCGAAGTCGCCCTGAAATACCCTACTATGAGTGAAGTAGTGGTCAATGGTCTACAACCTTATGCGACGTCCTTCTTTTGCATTTTTCGATAGCCTGACGGCACTTCGTACATATTATAAGCAACTTTCTCAAGTAGCCCACGTCATGGTATACACGGAAGATTGAATAGACTAAGCAAATAATACCCCTCATACTTTGCTGAACCCATAGGAGCTGGCTGTAAGCGAACGCAACAGATTGCTTTCCAAGCTGAAGGACGTGAACCATTCAATGTTGAGCTACCAGATATCCCTGAATGAAAATGTATGCCCGACAGCTTACGGAGTGAAAGGGTTTCTTGTATCGGCTATATCTCGACTGAGTATAGAACCTCTTGTTATACACTTGTGCATACACATGCACATTCAAGTAGCGATGATTTTACATATCGTTAGACCGCATGCACATGACCTGTTACAATCCCCGCCTTGTTCTTCACATGGATTCTCTTGTTATCGAGTCTTACTCTTTGTTTTTTTTTAGTTGGTTCTGAATATCACTAGTTGCGAGAGTCGTGATAGAGGAAACGTTTGATTTGATTAGTTTCATGCCGAACTCTATTCCATGCACGAAGAACTTTTCTTGTGTACGCTCACCGTCTTACATTGATTACATCGCACAGTTTCCCTTGGTGGATAGTCTGAATGACCTGCACGATCTAGGCACCTCTCCTCGAGTCTCCACACTGTCCTCAGTGAAGAGGCATTTGAAGAGATCTTCGTCGGTATGGACATAAAGCAAGTCAATTGACACTTTTTTTTTGCGTTCTCAAACACAGGCTTTTTGTGTAAGTTTGTGCACCTTAAAATCTTTAATCTGTCAACAACCCATCATTATCTCAGAAAAAGATAATCTGTATTGTTGCGATTGTTCCATATTCTTGCACTCCACACGCATCGGCGTACACCCCGGATCAACAATTTCTTATTTCATCCACATTTCAGGCCCAGGTGCAGTTCCCACGGCTATCGGCCACGTTTCATTCGAACAGGCATAATAAGGACACTGACTGGGTTGAGAAAGAACAAGCGCGAAGAAGACCGTCACTTCAATTGCCGCGGCGAGGCAGTCTGCTGACCGACGATACGATTGCGCAGACCGGGCTTTCCCTCGCACCTCGAGATAGCATGCTTTTGCGGGGGCCATGGGGAAGTCCGAAATCTCGGCCAAGAGCAAGTTCAGCCACCGCGGTTAAAGGAGGTGAGGCCAGGTCGGTAGTCGATACTGGGGCTGTAGCACAGCCTGTTCCTTACCAGGTATATAAATTGTGCAACGGGTATTGTGTTCGTGATAGTACACCTCGGTGGGTACTGGAAAGTAATGTGACCTTGGCGGCTGTACTTGAAGCCGGGTATCCTTGACGACGCACTTCACACTCTCATCAGTTGTCTTTAATTCCGTGTTGTGTGCTTGCATCCTACGCACAGTCGTGCATTCGGTTTACGGTCATAACATTTCCACTCGATACAGCCCACCCATGACTTTCCTAGAAAGCGACATAGCTTCGATGGGTTACGTGACGGCAATAAGACTGGGGCGACCCCCCAAACGGAGTTTTCGACAACACCTTACGCGAAGGATATCGGAAATGAAAGTATACCTAATGCAGCTGGTGATATCTTTGATAAGAGAGAAGTCGAATCAGGTCCACGAAATGTCTCTGAGGATGGAGATCGAACGAAGTATGCACATAACGGGGCAGGAGCTGAAAGCAAGTCAAGCCCGTTGTCGCAACCACTATCGAGTCCGGTGTATAGATTTGAAGGTAAAGAAGACAATGTTTCGGCATTTGCTGAAGAGCAGGTTGAAAGTTGGGGCCTTGCTGATACTGAAGCGCGGGAGAGTGGAAGTCTAGATTCGAAAGTGCTCGATTTGCCCGAAAGCGATGGTGATGACAAGATGTTTTCTGATTTAGGAGAGACAAGTGAGCAGACGAATGAGGCCAAACCTGATGACGTACGAGACACCAGTGATCAGGGTAGCTTAGACAGTGTGATACTGCACAGTAGTCCTGGCACCTCTGCGCAACACCCCGAAGATGTGTGTAGCAGCGGACCACCACGGTTCACTGTGGAAATACAAGATTCCAAGGGCGATCTCTGCAAAGAACAAATGGCTGACCATCAGACGCCAGACATCGGAGGGACTATACCTTCGGACTTGAATACGTCGGATTCAGGATCTGTGAATTCAGTGAGATCCAACAAGCCCATGCCACCGAAACCGTATGCACGAGGTCATGCGCGGGCGACCGCCGAAGGTACAAAAGACGTTCCGATAACACAAACGCAGCAGCAAAAACAGGAAGCTGCCATACCAAATAGACTGCAGCGCACCAAGAGTCCCACGCCAGGCTCTTACAGGAGAATAAGTGGGAGTGAGAAAACACCACCGTCGAACACGGATGGGCCGCCATCGCCTAACATGTCGTACAGGATGCCCGCCACAGTGAAGCCGCATAATTCACACTCGGCAAGACTTTCAAAACAACTGCGCCAGGCTGAAATAAGAGTATGTGCGAGGAAAAGCTATCATTTCTTGTGAGTTTTATCTATGCTGGAGGCATTTGCGAAGGAAAAAAACATTCGTGGATTGGAAAGTTATTTACTGCACACACATTGCACTTGTTCAGATATTCTACCACACTCTACGTGATCAGCCGAGAGTTGCATATTTCGAGTGGTTAATCGGGCTATATGATCAAAGTGTTGGTTTACGAGGTTCATTGCACTGACCTAGTGTATATACGCGCTTGTACGTACTCTTCATACGAATAGATTAAAATGCTAGAGCTTTACGCTCGTTCGCTGGTTCTGAAGAATGTGGACCTCGAATTTCAAATGAAAGATTTGAAGGAAGTCGATATGACGGAAATATTCACAACCAAGGACGGGGCACTGATCATGGTATGCGGGTGGTTCAGTCACCACTTTTACAGTTGTAGAATTTACCACATCTCCACTCGCACAGATTTGATGTTGTGTAGGTATTTTTACTCTGCCATTGTATGCGTTATGCAATTTAGTTGTCTCGACGGTTGACATTCTCGATTTGATTGCTCATCAAATCCTTACAGTCAGAAGTCTACACAGCAAGCCCCACCGTCTCTCGCACTGTTACGGAAATGCAACCAGCTTCAAGCACACACAGCATCGTTGACTTCCAATATGATAGCGATACAGTTGGCTCCAATAGCACAGCTGAACTCAACGGGCAGTCTTCTGACCCTAAAACGGCTTCCAAATCCTTGCTATCACCACGTGGGGGTGCGGAGAGCGTGGACAGTCTCAGTTCCGGCCGACGTTCGCGCGTGGACAGCGTAGCGTCCACTAGTATGTACGTCACGCCTGTCAGTAGCATATTGTCAAATATGTATGCCACGCCCGGGCTGACACCAGTGGCTACCGTGGATGGGTTGTCTGTAGATGCTTCGGTTGATGCGAAACAAAGTCGGTCCAGCGACAAGATTTCTGTATCGGGCATGCTGAATGGCGCTGTCGAAGAATTGGGCCCTGGAGATGACATCAGCGATAAGACCGTTTGTACCTGTAGGAAGAACACTACTTATAGCAGGCCAAAGCCGGATTCGCGACGTGGAACGGGCACTGCACAGTCGCAGGCAAACGATCAGTCTAGTAGTCTCATCTCATCGCAAGCAAGCCTACGTGTTCTGCAAGCGCACCCAGGACTACAGCTGACGAGCCGAACTAACAGCGTGATGAGTTCACCGGGGAGTCACAGTCATTCAAACGACACCCTGTACTTCGACGCGCTGCACAACACCTCGACCAGTGACTTGTTGAAGTTAAATGCGGATGTGCAGGAGTTGTTTGATAACGGGGACTTAGATAACGTTTTGCACGGGATGGAGATCATCAAAACGGCGAAGCAGAATTTAGATACGATCGATAACGATAGAAAAGATTTAGAAATTAATAACAAAACTACTGCTGTCCGCGAGGAGCCGGACAAAATGGGTTTAGTAGCTGCGATCAAGCAGCTGGCAGCAAAGAATCGGAGCACCCGTAGCAATGAAGAGAAGAAGTTCGGTACTGCGAACCCAGCCGATGATGATGCACGCGCCAGGGATGAGTCCAGTAATATAAAAAGTGCTAAAGGTGGTGAAACCAGCCAGGACATGCACAGTGACATTAATAAGATTAATCTGAATAGCGAAGTGACCGCTGTATCGAGCGCGATGAAATTGTTGTATGGGCTCAATCCTTTCTCGACCCGAGCCTCGGGTTCCAAAGATGGATCTGAGAAGAAATCGAGGGAGAGTAGCGCTGCAAGCAGTAATGACAACTTACAAAAGTACATCAGAACTGATAAAAATGCAATTCCAAACACGGAGAAAGCTAGTATCCCCCCGGCGAGTGCAGGTATAGCCAAAGGGTCGAGTGTGGATACCGTCGAGGTTGACAACAAACAGTTGGATAAGCGTACAAGCGACCTAACACTTCCATGCCCAGGCGTGAAGTTGGTTGTCACTCCAATAGGGTTTGATGACGAGCCTAACAGTAAAGACGTCGTAGAAAAGAATCTCTATAAGAGTGCAGATGCTGATCCAGATACTAGGGAAAGGGAGCGACAAGGCCCTCGAACAGAAGCGCGAGAAACATCGAATGCAACCGTCGGAGTCGTACAACCAGCAAGCAGCAGGCAGAGGAAGAATGCCAGTACTGCTAGTGACTACTTTGATGAAGATGGTTTCGTATGTATGTACAATGGCGTACAGCCAGACCCATTACAGGTGCTAGCTCAGTCGCAGGATGCAACCATGCATTCTCCCGAACTGTCACCATTGCTGAGTGCAGAAAAATCGCAAGCCAAAGCGCCTCAACTTGATGCCACGCACGTGACTAGTGCTGGCAGCAGTGATGGCCCAGGCACTGCATTCGCAAAGCCCTTAGCTCATATCGAGTCCCTGAGAACCAAAACTCGCCATGTAGTTCCGATTGCGAGTCATTTGGCTGTCGTATCCGTACCTGGGGCCACTGGAGGAACCAGTGACGGCCCGACCTATGAGACGGAAGGAACCGACGCAGGTACAGACTTAGTCCCACATGCTACGGAGCCCACAGAATCGGAAACTGGTGGCTTAGTGGATCAGCACAAACCCATAACAGGTGAGGTGTGTATGCTATCAGTGGCAGCTGCAGGTGCACAGGGATCGCTCGACACACAGCCATCAAAAGTACCAGCACAACCGCAAGGATGGACACTAATAAAATCACCACCGGACACACAGATAGAATCATCACCACCCCCGCAAATACAACCACCACAGCAAACACATTTAGAAGCACACTCGCCGCTCGAAACGGACGCACATACACCCCCACGCACAGAAGCAGAAACACTGGCACAGGTATCAGGAATTGATGACAAACCAGTGGTCGACTTAGACAATATGTTGGATGATAGACCAGAGGATAGTGCATCCGGTGTTGAAGTGGAAAGCTGGGAACGATTGGATACGATCATGATCAAGTATAAAGCGACGATGGCCAGCAAACTACCAATGCCGGAGTCTATACTGAAGAAACCTGGACAGAGGCGGAAGGGGGATTGTAGGAAAGATCCGGTGGTATGCTAGTGTGCCAGAGTACTGAATGTGACGCATGACTACTATTTTTCTCCTTGCCTATTAATCGTGTTTATGACGCTCACTTTGAATGCCAAATATGGATGCTGGTGCAGCCCGCCATCATCGTGTGCGATCTCATATATATATATATATATGTAATTATATATATATGTATGACTATACATTTTATTTACATATATGGGATATTTATTGAGGAAGTGTTAAATGTACGCACTTGTGCTGTAAATGTTGTTTATATCGAAGCAATCCATCACCACGCTTTGAGCTGAAACCGAGCACTATTTCTCTGCCATTTGGGTTCACACAGCAATTCAATCCCTTGACCGTGTGGCTGGATGCTGCCTTGTATGGCGACATCGAGACTTGCAACAGTATGATAGCGGTAAGTATGTATGTACACTCGTAGTCCGATGTGAATTATCCCAGGTTCGACCGGGACGTCAGACATCTTTGCTGATAAATCCATTCCAGTATCCTTTCTCTGCTTCATATCTTGCTCAAGCGCGATTCCTTACTAAGTCTCCGCTTCTGCTACCACAGTCTGTTGTGTGTGTGTGTGTACCGAAGTAAACTGATTGTACTAATCCAAATTGGTTGCGCTCTTGATTTCTATGGAACCATGTTGCCGCCCTGTGAATGAAATCTTTTTTAGAAGTGAGCGCAATACCACTCTATGGCTGTACACGTGTATCCTGATTCGAACAGTGTGTATCGTTCCCTTTGCTCCGTGCCATGTGGTTTCTTAAGCCCAAATCACTTCCGTAGTATCAGGCTGACTTGTGATTGCGAAGGCGACGTTCAGTATATCCAGGCATCATCAATCTGGTGTAATTGTGCATCGATGTGAATTCGGGGTCTGTCCGCATCTCATCCACATAAACAGCGGAACGAATATATAGCCACACACACACATATATCTATATATCTACATATATATATCTATATCTA